ATGGTTGAACAGTGGCATCACTGTACTGATGGTTGAACAGTGGCATCACTGTACTGATGGTTGAACAGTGTCATCAATGTATTGATGGTTGAACAGTGCTATCAATGTACTGATGGTTGAACAGTGCCATCAATGTACTGATGGTTAAACAGTGCTATCAATGTACTTATGGCTGAACAGTGCTATCAATGTATTGATGGTTGAACAGTGCTATCAATGTGCTGATGGTTGAACAGTGTCATCAATGTACTGATGGTTGAACAGTGTCATCAATGTACTGATGGTTGAACAGTGTCATCAATGTACTGATGGTTGAACAGTGCTATCAATGTACTTATGGTTGAACAGTGCCATCAATGTACTGATGGTTGAACAGGGCCATCAATGTACTGATGGTTGAACAGTGCTATCAATGTACTGATGGTTGAACAGTGCCATCACTGTACTGATGGTTGAACAGTGCCATCAATGTATTGATGGTTGAACAGTGCCATCAATGTACTGATGGTTGAACAGTGCCATCAATGTACTGATGGTTGAACAGTGTCATCAATGTATTGATTTTCTTTACAAACCTAGACTGTGAAGATCCTGTTGGACTGGTTGGTATGATTTCTGTATCTGATTGAGTTACAGCAATAGAGTCCAGAGAAGATGATGGAGATAGTGTTCCTGCATCATCAGACATCGCGAAAAATAGCTTTGTGATCAACTATATAGATAAAGCTGCCATTGTAGAAACTAAAAAAAAATTAAAGAAAAATTTGTATCATTATTTATTTATTTATTTATTCATTCATTCAAATATATTTATCAACACAACTCAACTCACACTACATTTCAGAAATCTATAAATGTTTACAGCACTCCATATTCCACCTTTATTAATAACACAACTTTTTTATTGTGAATTAAACTACCAGTACATCCACAATCTAACTGCTGGACTGAGTTCATGTTTTTATTCAAATCTGTGCGAAATTATAAATTTGTAAATTCGGCTTCCATGTTTTTTAAAATCAGAATCAGAGAAGGAGCAGTTAGACTTGACTTTCAAGCATGCTGATCATTATGATTGAATGTTTCTTTTATTAGAGTTTGACCACACATGCATGAATGTTTTTGAAATACATTATAATAACTGCAATAATTGAAAAGCACTGGATACAATATGCTGCATATAATTTGATACAACATCTCAAATGGCACTTTTCTATCACTAAGGTGAACAACACATAAATGTCACAGTCCTGTCTCTTAACAAGAAAAATATTAATATCAAAAATATCTAAATGAAAGTGGATATGTTTTATTAAAATCCATGACGAGAAAAACAAATTTTCAAAACTGTGTTACAAAAAGTATTCATGGTACAATATAATTTCCCTTTCAAAATGATAATTAATTTAATACAGTACGGAGTAACAAAAATTATACTTTTATCAATCATTGAATTAATCTTAGCAACTGTTTATAGATGTAGCAATGAACATAAATTTATGAATCTTGAGCAAAAAAAAAGTTAGGATTCTTTCAAATAAATTTTACAAGATGTGACTCAAAAAGTAGAGAGCGAAATAAACAGTTGTTGATTTGTTCATTTTTTTAATGGTTTGATATCAAATTAATACAGTAATATTAAATCGTATGTTTTTAACTGGTTCCAGTGATTATCATACAAACTGTAGAGTGGGGAAATCGAAAAAGACATACAATGTACATGTAAAGGGGCTGTAATCTACATGTAGATTTTTCAAAAAAAAAGTTGAAAATAACAAAATATAAGCTAACAAAAAAAGAAGATAAATAAATGAACATAATTTGCATTGTACATGTATTTAAATATACTGATTTTATAAGAAGGCTTTGTAAGCCGACCTAAATGTATAGGCACTTTGATTGATTCACTAATTTCATTCCATAGTTTTGGGCCAGAACTTAGTACATTTTTGGGATATAGATTTTTGGTAGTTTAAATTATTTTTTACTTTTAGTATTCTATGCATGACACTGAGAATGTTTTGTAAATATACCATTGAATACAGTGGGGACAAGAATATTCGCATATTTATACATAAATACTTGTTCCAGCTTGTACATGTATATATTCTGTACTTTATATGCATGTTCATGACTAAGTTAAGGTTTATGTGTAAAATCATATTGTCTTTTCTTTGAAACAAAACTGTAAATGCATAAACAACCTTAGACCGAACATGTCTGGTCCCCTGTTAGCTGACACATAGCAACAGCTTTGAAATGAAAATGCAAACACTGTTGCACTATTGTAAACAATGCACAATGCTTACCAAGGAATTAATCATAATATTATTACTTTACACTCACTTTGGTCACCATTTGCGAGTATGCCCTGTAGAATCCGTATCAGAAGCAAAATCCCTAATAAAAGTCTTACCCATTCTTTTTGAACAATTGAGAACCCCAAAAAATCACCATTTCACATATGTGTAGATGCTCTAATAGAAACCGCATGCCCTCTGTTGCATGGTTCCATTTGAATAGAAGCCATGGCTTCAAATACAGATTTTACAGTAGTTATTTTACTCTGCTTAGGTGTTACCCTTAGTAATCATTTTTTTTTACATTTACAGAAAGTTTGTTCAATTTGAACCACTTGTTAATTAACATGAGCCATTTCCTTATTTACAATGGTTTCTAATATTTTAATGTTTTTGTAAGAATAAAATAAATTAGTATAATGCATAGTGTATATCATTAATATATAAAATAAAAAGAAGGGGACCAATAATGAATCCTTGTGGGGCGCCACATCTAATATGTTTAGATGAAGAGTTCACAGATATACTATTTTCCTGTTGGAAAACTGTTTGGATGACAGCAGACAAAATAAAACCCAAGGGCAAGGATGACATTCAAGCAATAACATTAAATAAATTGAGGGGGGGGGGGTGTTTTGATGCATGTTTGTGTGAGGTGTTTGACTAGAATGCTTAATAATTATGCAGGTATACATATCAGTGAAATGATTTATTTTTGTCAATGAATTCTAGACAATTAAGTCTGCCAAAACACAATGCAAGTTGTTTATCATTTCATGAAGATTTTCAAATTTTTTACTAATCTGGCCATATAATGTAATAATTACAAAAGAACTAGAGATTTACATTTCATGTCATCACATTCACCATAGATTGATGCATTATCACTGATTACTTACTATTGACATCAAGCAAATAACTAATCAAAAGACCTAAGTGCTGAGGAAAACAAATAATTATGTCATGATATATACTTGTTAGCGCGAGAGGTTTCCCTTTTATTCAAGCTGTATCAAGTCGTATTGAATTCAATACAAGAGATGTAGAAAACTCATTGAGGTGCTGAATTGTCATGATGTTACCTTTGACCCAATTCATACATCTCAACCAGTCCTGTTTTGATATTTTGTAACAAACTGACAGGTGTCATTCGTCTAATCAAAAATCAATCAAATAAACAATATGACAAATGATAAATGATATGGCAAGCATTGGATTTGACCTCGTTGTTCAAAGCAAACAAACAAGATGGCGCTGGAGTGCAACTCAAGAAAATATATAAAAGGTAGCAAAATGCATAATTTTCAAAAGCCTGATGTAATTGCATGGATTGGCAGCACCACTATGCTATCGCACATATCCATGCACACCACCACCAAATATCCAGGTATGTTAGTTCAGAGCACATAACTATTATGCCAAATATGTAATTTATGTCAGCAAATCAAACAGATGCAGTAAGTTTATCACCTGATATCACTTGTTGCGGAGCAGGTTGATACAAATGACATTATGTTCTACAAATCGAAGAAGATAATACAACCCATGGCGCCACAAGAATAAAAAAGCCCTACCAACTATTGATATCAGATGATATCATTTTTATCACATGACCAGTACTGAGTGTCAAAACAACAGATAACTCTTTTATTTTTTTCTTCTTCAAAAAATATACTAATCATATGCTAATTTATGCTAATTAGGAACAGCGTAGACGATGATGAATATGCATTTGCAGTAGCAGTCGATGATGGTTTTTGAAATCAGCAGAAATGTTACTGTTCTTAATCTCAGCAATTTGTTATCAAAATAAACATTCAGTCATTATTTACGAGTTCCGTGTTATTGTCATTACCGCGAGTAATTGTTATCCTGTCTGAATTTCTCAAGCATACACAGACTGTTGACGTTTATTATGCCATGGAGCTAAAATAATGATTATGCATAGAGTTTTAGAGTGAGTTATCAGTTAGTGATA